CCATATTGATACAGCTCTTGCAACAAAGATTCCAGTGACTCAATTGGTTGAGACAATGTAAAAACTAAGTCATCCGCAAAAGCTTTAAGTTTGTATTCTTTAGCAGAAATCCTTAGGCCTTTAATCATTGAAGATTCTCTAATTCTGGACAATAAAATTTCCAGTGACAATACAAATAATAAAGGAGAAAGTGGACAACGTGTTTTGATCCACATTTTCTTGCAAAGTGCAGTCTAAATATGCATTCCCCTTCCCAAAAGTTGTGCTTAGATGAATGCAAAGTCAAAGAATTTAGCCAAGTTATTTGTGCCTATTTGGGGCTGAACACATGGCCTCTCCAAAAATTGAGAAACTATCATTTTTAATTTGACAAAAAAGTTTAAGTAATTTAAGTCATGGGGATTCAATGTATGAATTGAAATATACTGAGTTAACTTGAATAAAATTAAAATGAAATCACATTTAATTTTGCTATTGTCTTGTCTGTGTTTTTTTCCTGGCCCTGTTTATTTTGGAAAGGTAGCTTCTCTCAAAGATCAGGTGCAACCCTCAGCCCACAAAAGCTGTGTGTATGGCAGAATTTGAAGAGACACAGATCAAATAATCTGTGACATAGTAATATGCAAAGATCAAACTTTTCAAGAATCTATATTGTAAAGAATGATGTGGAATTTACATAGTTGTCAATTTAACTGTTTGCTCTCTTTCTCCATGTTCAGCTGGGAAGGAAGAAAAAGAAGTATATGCCTTACCAGTACCAACATAATTACTTTGCCTGTAAGTGTTTTACCATGTTCTCAGGAGCCTAAATTTGGAGGAGAATAACCAAATAAAGTCATATATCAGCACTATAAAGCAGAACAGACTAAGAAACCAATGCCATATAGGCCAGGACTACTTTTATTGGAACACCTAGAGTAACAGGATCTTGTGAATATGAATGTGTTTCCTCCCCTTATGTGAACCAGGGAGCTGCCTGAGACATTTACTCAAATTACTTTCTTGGAAAGGGCTCATTGCCTTGATAGCAACTCTTCCTGCTGCCTTTCAAGGCCATTCCCTATTCCCTGTGCATTAGATCTTTAACTCAATCACTTATAGAAATGCCCTGATGAGCAGTGGGGCAATAGGTCAGGGATTAAGGTGGTTAATTTAATGCAAAATGGGATTCAAAGGCAGATGCTGTTTTTTTCCTTCTAGGATATAGTCTATCTTTATTTTAATCACACAATCATTTTTGTATTCTCCTTTTGCATTTTTATATTAGTTTTTGCACCATTGTTATTTACGGTTGGCGTCCAAGTGGTTACCTATCGCTATATATTTCAAAGAAAAAAATGGTTGGTAAGTCATAACAGCTTTTTCTTTTAGGGGATTGGTGTATGGTCAAGTGTAACATGTAAATGTCCTGAATCCTCCTCCTTTCTAATGAGCTACGGGACATGCATTACAAAACATAACTTGTTTCTTTTCCTTAATTCTCCACAATATCATGGGAACATTCCCTGACATTTATGATTTCATTGGCCTTCCCTTTAGTCAGCACCATGGAACAGCACATGTAACTGGTTTGTTTGGGAAGGGAAGGGAAGGGAAGGGTGAGCAATAGGCAAATTGTACAATGAAAGCCAAGGAATGCTTGTCACAGCTGCAAAGCGCTGACCACAGTATCTACCCTGATGTTAACAATGAGCCTGTTCCACTGGATTAACTCATACATTAGTGAAATTATCTCCAAGACTGTGAATCTTTTCCAAACTAACTTGAAAATCAGAAAACAAGCATACACTCCTCCAGGCAGTGGCAGTGGCAACAGTGGAGCAGAAAGTGATGAGGAGCAGAGGAAGAGATTGCTTGGAGATTGCATTTCTAACTGCTATGGATATTGTGCTGTATTTGCAGAGTGATGGGGGACAGATTATCTGGGGCACTGATACGGGGAGTACAGTACAGATACAGTTTAATAATAATAACAGCAATGCTCCACAGTTAGATATATAGTGGGCAGAAAACTTCAGTCCTCTCCAAGGGTGCAAAAATAACTCTACTCAGGTTGAGTCATGTCACTATCCATTGCAATTCTCAGCCACTGCAAAAGACATGGAGACCTTTAGTAACTTCAAGAATTCCACTTCTGTCCTAAAGCAGTTCTTTCCATTTTGATGTAAAGCAAGGTTTTTGCAGAACTGAGGCTAGTATGCTCCATCCTCACCTTTTCACCATTGTGGGAGTTTTGCTACATGCACAAATGAAAAGACCCTGAAAGTCCTTCAGCACTACACTGCAGATTGCCTATTACTCTGCATTTATTGCATTATAGCCTTCAGCCTCTCTATTTGCCACTTTGCAGCTAATTAATCTGAAATTGACAAAGCAACTCATAATAATGATCCACATGTTGTTACAGTTGTGCTTATTTAACACTCTGTTCTTTGACAGGAGCTGTTTACCAGTCTTTTCTATAACTTCCGTGTCTGCCTCATGTATGTTCCTTTAATGGGATTTAAGAGCTTTATGGTTTACTTCTGGTTATCCAGGTAATAATAATAATGTAAAACTCTACCCTGCTGCTATCACCCAACTGATGCTTTTAAACACTGTGAAGCCAAAAGGAGTCCTTCAATATGTGCATAGCTTTGTTTACCAGCCAAAAAAACCCAATGAGGTCTCCATTTCTTGTTGACTTAATATGGGGATGTAAAACAAATAAACACCTGTTAAAATTAGTATACACTATTACTGTTCTTTTCACATGACACAATAGTTTCTACATGAAAACAAGTCCCATTATAATCACAAGGCTTTTGTTTCCTATGGATGTTGTTGTGTTTGCAGGTTAGAGGCATTAAGTGTTCTGTCCCCCGTCCGACTCACACACCCCAACCAGTCAGCCGAGGGTTAACAGACTGCTCAGCACTGCCAAAAACACAGATGAACACTTGGCAGCAACTCCGTGGCTGCCTGCCAAGACCTTTACTGATAACTCACAGTACAAATACAAATCAAAGTCCAGGATAATTCCGAAGTGCTACAACAGAAGATTCAGTATTGTTCATCACAAGAGTTTCAAACGGCACACCCCTTGCTTATATAGCCTGTGGGGTGTGGCCCAGTGACTCAGCTGAAATCTCTGGCATGACGTTTTAGCTGCTGCGCACGTTTGTCCCTCCAACGCTGGTGTGGATCCAGCCAAGATGTATCCTCCTCAGAGTCCGACACACCTGGCTCCTGGCCAATCCCAGAAGCACCTGGCTCCTGGCCGATCCCAGAAACACCTGGCTCCTGGCCAATCTCCTCTCCGTCGGAAGACACCGAAGGCCGCACCAGAGGGGAAGGTCCTGGAGAGGGAGGCCTGGCCATCTCCTCTCCTTCATGTTCAGAGCCTTCCTCGTCCGATGATAGGGACCCACAGGAGGGAGCCACAACATTAAGAGGCAACGCATGGTGTAGCAAACCAGCTTCTTTTATTGTTCTCTTCTTACAACCAGCAACAGCAAAATGGCATGCAGGCCTTTTATAATGTCCAAAACCCAGACAGTGTCAGCCAATAGAAATCCGGCTGTTTTCGCGCCTTGTGCATATGCGCAAGGCTGGCGACAGCCAGTCTGGTCCCAGGCAGCTTTTGGTCTGCCCGGGACCATTTGCAACATTTCTGAGCCTGCTGAATGCTTCAGCAGGCTCAGGACACAACAGATGTAGTTACATGCCACCAAAGGGAAACATGTAATGTCTATGTCTATATTGTCTATATTAAAAAATGATATGTCATCCTTTCTCAACCTCATCTCAAACTAGTTTATAACATATAAAAATGAAAGTAAATGAAAAATAACCATGTCATTAAAAAGAACATACTGTAGCTCACCATAATGATATTGAGCAAACTCCTATTATTGTTTGGTCAGCACCAATAATCAAACTATTATTTACCAAAACTTTTACAGCCACTAATTATGTCTCAAATGTACTTCACTAATTGCCAGAGATTGGATCTAAAAGCTTGATCTTAGACTATGAGCAGTTTGGTACAGGAGTAGACATTTCTTTAAAGATTGGTCTCGTAGTTCTTAGTCTCAGAAAAAAAAACATTATTTATTTGTCCTGCAATTCATAGTTGGATGAAAACTGCATTTCAGTGGCTTTATCCAAGGAATGAGGGCCTTTGGGGAGCTGCTTCCATACGCATATACAACCCGTCTCCTATCTTGTGTACCTCAAGGCAAAAGGCTTCAAAGGCAGCTTTGCTGGCATGCCATTCTGTAGCCCTTAAAAACCTCTCAGAACTTCTTGGACCAATTAGCTTTAAGGCTGATCCTGCACCAGGGAAATGAATGATTTTTAGATTTCTTTAATATTTCCACAAATCAGTCCTCGGTTACAATCTGGCTAGCAATCTACCTGAAAGATTGTTTCCTAAACAAACTGACAAACACACATATACATGCTGCAAAATGCCTAGATGATGCATGTTATGGGGAAGGACTAGAAACCTCTTTGGGATTTTCCGTCAAGTTAGAGCAGACATGTGAAACATGCAACGTCACGTGACGTCGCACAACGTATCGGAGCTTTTCCCCCATTGCTGGCAATGGGGTGGGCGCGGTTTCCTCCTGACATGTCCAGCCAGTGGGCCGGCAGTCTGACACCCCTGAGTTAGAGGAAGGAGCTGTTTGTAACTCATATGCCCACTAAAAGCTCTGGAGACAATGCACGTAGTGATTTTCGAGCCAGAAGAATGAATGTTCAGTGGCTGGGATTCTTGGTGTTAGCTGTTGGGCAGTTCAAAGTGGGCAACAATTGGCTCAGGGTGAAATGTGTGGAACCCAAACTTGCAAATATATAATTAACATTGAGCTAAAAGTGTTTTGATCAATTGATAGTGAGAACACAGTGGAGAAATCCAGCTGGTTTTAAAATATATTGAGAATTATTTGCAAATGGGAAGACTGAAGATGGAAAAGGAGTTGTGAAAGCAAATACGGACAAATCTTTACCCCTTCTTTAGAAATTAAGCCGAATTTAAGCACTTTTATCCACCTTTCTTGCCCAATAGGTAATCCACATGTGGGCAGTTCATCAACTTATGTAATGAATAATACTGCTTGCTTAATTGAGAACTCTGAAGAATGTGAGTTTACACAGCTTTAGAATACCGAAAACTTCTAACTGGACATGAGGGCTTAAAGTGTGATAGATTAATCTACAAGATTGTTGCAAAACACCATAGCTTTAATTCCCTGCTTTTACCTATAAAAATTTACTTTTCCATATAGTCTGTTAATGCAATGACATAATAGTAATTATCATGTCATTTTTTGGCTAATAAAAGCAAAATAGTTTTACTAGTGAGTAAACCGTTTAAAGAATTTGTTTAAATCACTATTGTTACTGCTTGTATGTCTACACAGGTATTTAGAATATGCATGGTTTGTCTGGATCTCACAGATGAACCACATTCCAATGAATATTGACTATGATCAGAATTTAGATTGGTTCTCTGCACAGGTGAGATAGTTTCTATTTAAAGGGGAAGTTTCCTTTCTTTGGATAATCTTATTCTCAAATGTTGGGTCCTTAGTTCTGAAACATAGGGGCAGATTATGCTGTTATTTTCTTAAATATTTCATGCCCTTATCTTCATGGGAAAATGCTCTTATAAAGAGCAAGTAATGCAAATGGAACATCTATGCTGGCAGCTAGAAATGTCTTCTCATATTGCAGTTTCTGGGAAAACCCCAATTGCTCAGTGATGCCCTTTTTCTTCTCATGGAGAAGAACATGGGGGACCAACAATGATCTCATTGTCCATGGTAGATGATGAGATGATAAACAATGTAGTACATTGCCTATTAATCTCCCTTGCTTCTTATGACAATTCAGTAAGGCAGGAATAGCACCAATACTATTCATCCTCCAAAAGGACAGTTTACAATTCCAAGTCCCCACATGTATACTCCAATTCACATAATTGTTCTTTTTGCGGTTATGAACCAGATTTTCAGTGGCATCAGAAATTAACTTTGTAAGATGCATTGATCTACAGCAGGGGTGTGAAACTGTTGGCCCGCGGGCCAGATGCTTCATGCTGAAACCACACCCACCCCATTGCCAGCAATGGAGAAAAAGTTGCGATACGTCGCACGACATGTCATGTGACGTTGCAAGTTTGACACCCCTGATCTACAGATATGAGTGGCCAAACATTGATGCCGAGGGAGGAAACACTGCCATTTTCTCTTGATATTGTAGAGAAAATATATTGGAGGAAATCTAATGCTCCTGGTGATAGTTACAGCAATCTCCCCAGAAAGTGTAGAATGACTGTGTACATGTGGGGAAAACACCAACCCAATGATTCTTTCATTTTTTTAAGCCTTTTTTCCATGCTTTCTTGGTGCCCTTTTTCTATAGGGCTTTGAACCAAATATTATGGGACCGGAGATTGTGTTGGATGCATTCTGTGTCTGTAACACTACAATTTCACACTGTGGTTTAGACAAGATAATTAAGGGATGAGTCTAAATGAACAGATTATATGAACAGTCCTCTGGCAAGCATTAGGCAGTTTAAAGGTGATACCAGAAACCTGATCACAGTGATGTAAGGTAACAAGAGAAACAGCATATAGTTGTTGTAACATTAAAAACAGATGATTTCTGCATAGATAACCTGACCTATCACAAAATGAGAATGAGAGATGATGAAAGAGAAGACAGGTTTTCTATCTTTTTTTAACAGTAAATCATAGCTAGTTGTATATCATCTTGTAGGTCCTCCAAATATAAACTAGTGCCATTCTTTATTATATAATTATTGTTTGTACATCCTTGTGTTAGCCATGTATATATTTCATTTGTATTGTACCTTTTCTTTATGGGGCTTACTTCCAGTTTTTAAGGTAGCTCTAAAGTTGGTTTATTCATACACAATTTTCCTGTTCTAATTTCTGTTTTGTTTTGTTTTATGTTTGTAGTAGCATGATATAACTCCTGGGGTGGGAAGTTGTTAACTGCTAATGCATGTTTATATTATTATTTTTATTAAAATTAAAGGGTACATTAATTCATATGATTTTGTTATACCCAGTTTTGATTTCTGTTTGGAATAAAGTTAAAGCCCATAAAAGTAGATTTATGAAGAAAAAGTTATATTAAATATTATTTTGAATACATTCCAAAATTGTGGAAGTGGTCTAAATCTGTTTGCTAATGGCTGGAGAATTGGATGCTACTGTCCTTGTCCTAAACTAATGTTCTAACTTTCACAGAAGTAATCACATAATATTTCCATGTTTACTTCTAAAGAAATAGTTCAATAAGGATGGCTCTCAGGGAAGTCAACTTTATTTTGGATTTCATCCCATGCATATAGCATCAGTGGAGTAGTTGGCCTGGATTGCCTGGCCTGGATTCAGAAATATTTCTAATGTCTTTCTGGGCAGTGACCATACTAGAAATGTAAAAAACATTTGGAAATGAATGATGGTCTATAATACTGTAAATTGATAGAATTACTGTACTGTTGGTAGAAACTAGGAAGAAACATGAAGGAAGTCATTGAAACTCTACATGTTTTAATTTCTCTCTTAGCTCTCAGCAACATGTAATGTGGATCAATCTCTATTCAATGACTGGTACACTGGGCACTTAAATTTCCAGATTGAACATCAGTAAGTACAAGCTATATGGGAAGATTGTACAGTTTATAATGCAGGTTTTGTACAGCTTTTATCCCCACTAAGCCCTAGCTGTATGTTATGGCTCAAGGTTTAATCCAAACGATGGCTGTGGCCAAGAGTTTTGGCTATGTCTAAAGAAGGCAGATATCTTGTCCCAGTTATACATGTTGTGGCTATTCCAGACTAGACTTTGGGACCTATCATGTAAAAATGCCTAGAAGCAGTATTTCATACAAAATACAGCAATGAAACTGATGTCTAGAGCTGGGGTTTTCATATCTTACTTCAAGTTTTATAGCAGATCAAATGGTTGATAATTATAATTCATTTCTGGACCAAGTCAAATGCTGGGGTTTTTTTAACCTTCAAAATTCTTAACTAGGTGTACAAAACTTGTGAGCACCTCCACAATATGGCTGAACTACAGCTCCTAGTAGCCTAATACAAAGGGTCTCATTAGGAAGGATTGTGGTTCAGCAATAATCCGAAGAACCTCAGCTGGTTCATCCCTGTCCAAAACTCTTTGGGAACTAGGCAGGTGAAAGATTATCTCTTGTATGAACCTGCCTGTATGCCCTGAGATGGGAAGGGCAGTAATGACAGCAGGATCCATATTACAGAAGTATCTTCTATTCTGTCCTCTTGATGTTTTCCACAGTCTTTTCCCAACCATGCCTCGTCACAATTATTACAAGGTGGCTCCCCTGGTGAAATCCCTGTGTGCCAAGCATAACATTAAGTATGAGTGCAAGCCCATGATCACTGCTTTTGCAGATATATGGCGGTAAGTACGAGCCCACAGGAAAGTCCATTTGCAGGCATGTCATCATGGGGAGATCAGTGGGGCAAGAGAATATCTCAAGTGGACAGTGGCGGGAAAGAACTCACTACTGTGAAAATGTGATTTTGGTGAACGTGTCCCCTGTTCTCTTTCCCTCTGCAGCTCCCTGAAGGAATCAGGAAAGGTTTGGCACAATGCTTATTACCAGGAATAAAATAAATACCAGCGAGGAATTGGGATGGCTCCATTGTTATGAACACCTGCTGTTCTCTCTTAGCCTTTGTGATTTTAAAATAATTTTAATAATAATAGTTTTTATCTATTGTTTGGGTGGCATACAACAACATTATAAAACAGTTAGTTTTCATGAGTTTGCCAGCCATGTACATTTGATGAATACATAAATAAATTATCTTGAAAAAGAATCTCATGCTATCCTCCCAATCAACTTCATGGATGGATGGATGGATGGATGGATGGATGGATGGATGGATGGATGGATGCAGTGGTGGAGAACCTATGGCACGTGTGCCAGAGGCAGCACTCAGAGCCTTCTCTGTGGGCACATGTGCCATCGCCCCAGCCCCGCCTCCCCCCGTGGTGCCCTCCTCACCAGCAGTCCTCCTGGAGGAGAATCACCCCCGGGTGCAACCCGCACAGAGCACCGCAGCCAAGGACATGGCAGACAGACAGCAGGGACAAGACTCCACCCTCCCGCCCCGACATGCACAGATGATGCTGCGGGGTGTGGGTGGATGACATGGCCACCATGGTGCTGCAGGGCCGAGGAGGTAGGTGGCTTTGCGGGCGGGCGGGGTGGGGAGTGGAGTGGGGATGGAGCAGGGGCGGGGCGGGGTGGGTGGGTTGGGCAGGGGCAGGTGAGGGTGAAGCAGGGGGTGGGGCAGTTTTTGGGCCCTCAGTGTCTAAAAGGTTTGCCATCACTGGATGGATGGATGGATGGATGGATGGACAGACAGACAGACAGACAGACAGACTAGAAAAGCAGAGGCCAAGATGTTAAATGACCTAGACTATTCAGAGTCACAGCGGCCCTTCTCCCAAAGGTATGTGACCAACACCCATTATGACGTGATCACATTTTGGGTGCTTGGCAACTGGCTCACCTTTTACGTGACTGGCTCAGGAATTCTGGAAGTTGAAGTCCACAAATCATAAATGAACCATAGTTCCCCACAAAAAAATGCCCATTGGATAAAACAGATTTGCTACTGCATTTGCTTAATGACTGCTGCAATGAAGGTTGCAAAATCAGGTGCGGTCATGTGGTGATTCACTTAATGACTGTAACAACTTACTACCATAGTTCTGGACAGAATCACGATCATAAGTCAAGGACTACCTGTATGCACTTGATCACACATACAGGCAAATATGTTTTTGCTACTAAACCTCAGTAATGAATAGCAGCTTCTTAATAAATAGTTTGAACAGTCATTTGCTGATCACAGATTGACATCTCCCATTAAAAGCAGTTGGACTGCTGACCCCAAGGAACAGAAGCGGCACAATTCCGCATCTGTCTGCTCAGAATTAGGGTCCTATGAGTGAAACAAGTTATGTAGCTTAGCAAGGCATAAAGCCCAGACCACCTGTGATTTATTCAATAAACCATTGTTTAGCACTCCCTGGCAGTCAACAAGTAAATCTCTCAAAAGTGGCTGTTTAGCTTTTAGAGAGCATCTGAAGAGCTTTTTAGAAGATTTATTAGCAGCTTATCCTTCAGAAAATTCTTCTGAGCTCTTGTGTATTTTATCTAAAATTTGGTGAACTGTATAACTTTTTAACTGTAAGTGTTTTTTTCCTACAAGGTTCAAAACCTAGCGCCAAAATATCTGCAGGGCTGACTGTCAGTTCCATGTGAGCCTACCCAGAGTCTCAAAAACTATGTCTAAAATTATAAGAGGGCGAGACAGCAGCTGTGACAGATTCACAAAGTCACTGGGAGCCAGCTGACCTATATAGTTAAATAATCATAATAATATAGGTAGTCCTCAACTTACAACCACAACTGAATCCAAAATTTATGTTGCTAGGTGAGTCATTTCTTAAATGAGTTTTGCCTCATTATATTACTTTTCCTGCCACAGTTGTTAAGTGAATCACTGCAGTTATTAAAATAGTAATCCCGTTGTAAAGTGAATCTGGTTTCCCCATTGACTTTGCCTGTCAGAAAGTTGCAAAATGTGATCACATGAACATGGAGACATTGCAACCATCCTAAATATGAGCTGGGGTATCAAGTATCCGAATGTAAATCATCACCATGGGATGCTGTAATGGTCGTGTGAAAAATGGTCGTAAGTCACTTTTTTCAGTGCCGTTGTAACTTTGAATGGTCACTAAGCGAACTGTAAGTCGAGGACTACCTGTAGTAATAGGGACTGCAATCTCCTTTGGGCAGAGGCATGTTTTTCCCCCCTCCTGTTACTTCATAAAGTATGATGTGTACATCAGATAACAATACCACTATTATTATGACCAATAATAACAAGGAAAAACCCATTGAAGCATAAGGCAACTGGTGTTCAAAGACAGACACTTCCTTTACACATCAACAAAGGAATAAGACCCTTGGATCCTTTGCATCCAATGCCCATTACTGCTAACAAATAAAGTAGGCTTGATGGGCAATCAACTACAAAATTGCTGAGTTAAAGATGCCACAGCTCTTTTTATCATCTATTGTACATTTATTTTCCTAGGACAGGGGTCGGCAACCTTAAACACTCAAAGAGCCACTTTCGAAGGTTACTTTCAAATAAAATACTCAATGTCTATTTGAGTCCTCCTCATATTTATGAAATAAAAAGCTAAACTTAATTTATCCGCCTGCAGCAAACCCAAAATGCTGTCTGCTTCTGTGTGCCGTCATCCTTTTATCGTGTGTACTGGAGCGTGCAGTCAGCTGTCAACAAATAAAAAAGGACTATTTCACTGAACAATGTAAAATATATATTTGCAAAATAATAGCCAATTAAAATATTTATTTTACCTGGTTAATGTGATTTTTGCTTCTCAACATCAGCACACAGCATCTGCACATCAGGGCTGTAAGACGTCACCTTCATCTTCAAACAGGATTGCAGGCTGTTGTCTGTGAGGTGTGAGCGATATTTGTTTTTAATATAGTTCATGTTGGAGAAGACTTTGTTGTGCAGCAGGAGATCAGAATACAGTATGTGCTTTCCATCTCCTCTAGTAGCAAAAGGAACTGACGGTGATTTAAACCTTGTGCCATTATTTTATTGACAATCTGAATGACAACATTCATTACTTCTGTGCATTCTGGAGGAAATGTTTGAGCGCACAATGCCTCTTGGTGCAGGATGCAGTGAAATGTTAGCAGCATTCTACCCAGTGACTTCTGCAGTAAAGCCACAAAGCCCTTCTGCGCTCCTGTCATACTCAGTGCCCCATCAGTAGCCACTGACACCAGATGAGTGGTATTTATTTCATTGGTTCTTAAATAATCCAAGACAGCCTCACAGATGTCCTCCCCCCGTGTTTGGCCTTTTAGTGGTATCAACTCAATAATTTCTTCCTGTGATTTAGCAGAGTTCACATAGTGGTAGAACAGCGCTATTTGTTCAATATCACCTTTGACTTTGGATGCATCATAGGCAATTGAGTATGCCACAGCTGAACCGATGTCTTTAATTTGCTGTCTGGTGATGTTTTCTGACATTTTTATGGTTCTGTCTTTGACAGTCTTTGCAGAGAGAGGCATATCTCTGATTTTCTGCACAATTTCACTCTTGTTTTTGAAGTCCGAGAATAGATCTTCTGAAATCTTAATGAATGATTCCTTGATATACTCTCCATCTGTGAACAGCTTCCCATGCCTGACTATTTCCTGAGCGGCCATAAAACTAGCATATGTAGTTGAATTTGCAGACTTCACCCACTTCTTAAAACGATTCTTGCTCAGATCAACCTTCTGCATCAATTCCGAAATGGCTTTTTCTCTCTCATCTCCATCAGGGTATTTTTCAGCAAAGTCTGTGTGTTTATTCTGGAAATGTCTTGCAACATTTGACTTTTTGTTTTTGCCAATTTCTCACCACATATTAAACAAACTGGTTGTCAGTAGTGAAAGCAAATGAATCTGTCCACATATCATTAAACATTCTGTTTTCTTCCAAAAATTTTCTTTTCTTGCATGATTTATCCATGGTTAGCCTACTGCAGGTCAAAATGATATGCAGGTTCTGAGGTTTTGCTTAATTAAAAAAATACAGGAAACCAGATGTTGCCTTCAAGCTTTACGTTTTTATTCAGCTGAATAGAGGCGGACTCCTCTAAATGAGAAAAGCCCTGAATGACAAGAAATCCTTGTATTTATTCTTTCTAATTACATAAGCAACCCATCCAGCAAGCTGACACATGTAAGATAAAGATTTCACCCAGTAAGTCTGGCACACTGTAGATAAGATGGGAGAAAGCAGAAGTAGCTAAACATGTTCCCTTTTGGGTGTTTCCCTAAAGATATCATATATATTTTTGGTGGGTTAGGACATTGGGTGTTTTCCCTACTATTCTTTCATGACCCTGCATCCAGGACTCTGCAAGTGACCAGAGAGAGAGAGGGGCCATCTTTATTCACAACTGATACTGTCCCCTAAGTCCTGGTCATCAGAAAAGCACAATAAATCTCATGCCAGTGAGTGTCGGACGTTGGAAATTATGACCAGTACTGGGAATCAAATAATTTAACAACCAGTTCCCTACAGAATTCCCCCCCTCACATGGAGCTCCCCACCGCCACTACTTCCCCCCACCTCTGATGTAGCACTCCACTGCCACTGCTGCTTCCCCCCCAGGATGGAGCGTTCTGCCGCTGCTTTACCCAGTGGCAAAGGTGGAGTTTGGGAGACAGCGGCAAGGCATAGCCCAGGCATGGCCAAGCAGCAGCAGGATTGCTCTCAATAAGGCGGGCGCACACGAGCAAGCAGCGCACCCGGCTCTTATTGTTTGAGAGCAATCCCGCTGCTGCGCTTCCACTTTCTTCAACCATGATCCTCCCCTCCCCAGCCAGCCAGTTCTTCATGAATTTAACATGGACATAAAAATGTTTCACCACCTTTATCAATATCACAAAGAAAAAAAATAAGAACTTTAATTGTGCTTGATCAAGTGCACTCATTTTCCTCCAGTCACTCTCTTGGCATCTCTACCCACTACATCACCCTCTGAAAGCCAGAGGACTCCCAACGATCCACACTCATAGAGAGGATCCTGCAATCTAATCTGAGCTGTCATAACCTTTCATTCCAGCATGATT